AGCAGCAGGTCTGGATTCAGGGCGCTGCGGGTCCTGTGGCCGGAGATAGCGGCGGAACTCCGCACCAAAGATGTGGGACAAAAGGACTCCGACGACGCCCCGGCATGGTACGCACAGCACGCGACGGGCTTTGTTTGGGGGCAGCAGTGGCACCCGTGCGCCCCCCTTAATTTGCGTTGACCCGTAGACCGGTGTCCCCGTCATGGGAAGTTCCGGTTCCTCTGGTTGCCTTGGGTGGTCGAAGCGCTTTTTTTCTGATCAAAATGCTACCTCGAGGCGCCGGGAGCTAGTAACTGCGATGCGCTTGACACAGCGTGTACTGTATTCCTAGACCACTAGGAACGCCCCCAGTGGCGACTTCCAAGACGGCGTTCCCCCCGGTGGGTGCTGGACAATTGATTGACGCTACCTGGCACGTGCTTTCATCGTATGTGCAGCAGTGATGTTGGCCCCTTGTCGTTGTGAGTGATTTTGTAAGTTTTTTTTTTCCAAGACAACGATCTGCAACGTTATACAACCCACCCACTGAGTTCCGCTCAATGCGCAGGGCCAAAATATTGGGCAACCTAGTACCACAGCGCAAAACGCCGTATCGTGGAGCAACTCCGCTCTTCTGCCCTCGATACCCGCAGGATTCTCGACAAGATGAAGGAGCTGCGGCCAATCGTTGAAACCGGCTACGAGAACATCCTCCTGGTTCGGCTTCTCATCGAGGAGGTGGGTTGGGGGGAAGGGAACGTCAGGGCCTGTTTTAGCAATCATAATGACACTCGGATTGAATTGCGTATGATTTGGAGGAATATGTTCGTGTTTTTTTACGACAATACGTGTATCATTTCAAGGTTGAAACACCCACCAAATCGAGATTCAGCACCACCCAAATGTGGCGGAATAACTGCGGCGAGGAGGTGTCGGCAAAGCGCATTTGGTCGAAAATACTACCACGGCGACCCACTTTGCATGAATATGTGGCACGCTCACAGAACCAGTTTGTGCACAAAACAGCCATTTCCAAGCAGCGGGCAGTGGGCGATGCGGGTTGTTGCTGCACGACCAGTGTGTATATGGCATTCTCAGGGGCACAGCCTACACGAGGGGTGGGTGCGATCCCAACCAGGCCTTACCCGCTGTTCTTGGCAGCAACAGGCTCATCATATTTCCCCCTGTTGACGAATCACCCGCGTTAGCCTCCGACCGCCCGCTCCAGGGTTTCGGGCGGCGAGTTTTTGTCTGGTGCTACTTGTTAATGTTTGCGGGGCCTGACGGTGGTGGCGCACACCGCTAGCGGTATGGGTGTCGCATACTGTGAAGAGTGTTGCAAAAATGACGCACGGAATATGCCAACCAACCTCCTTCGGTGAAGCACGGCAACTGTGCAACCAGTCTCGCAAGTCTCGAGGAGAACAGCGATTATCGACGAAATCTTCGAGCACGATGCCGGTGAGGTCGGGAGGCCGACGACCCGAGGAAGACCGAAAGAGGCCACGGCTACTAGATGTTCTCGGTTTGCCGACCCAGTGTCTCCCTTAACCCTATCATGGTCCACCGGACCGGGAATCGAGGACCCATCTTCTGACGCCGATCCTCCGGTTTTCTGACGAGTGCGTGTCTTCCAACAACGTTGACCTCGCTCCATCGACGACGGCTGGATTTCTCTGTGCCCGGTGTCGGGCGGTCGCGCGTTTGCGGGGGGGCGGCCGGATCTTAACGCACCCGCTGCCACAGAGGCTGGGGTTGCCGGTGCTCTACCCTTCGGAGGGGCTGTTCGACTCATGGTGAGGCTAGATGTGTGTATGGGTGTGTACCCCTGCATAGCCAACCCTTTCTAATTTTTGTCAACCTTTACGCCCCTTTGACAGCTTATGCTTCTTTTGTTCGACCTTTTAACCTTAAGGGGACCGGAGGCTAGAGACGCGCTAGCCCTGCGGTACGACCTCAGTCGAGAGGAGCTAGTGGACGCCTTCGGCAGCGCCCGCGACGAGTGGATGGAGGCCGACTTCCAGGGGTGGCTGGGGGCCAACAAGTTCTACGAGGTGCGGTACGGTGCGGCGCGGTGCTGTCGGTCGGTCGGTGGGTAGGTTGGTCGGTTATGCGTCGGTGGGTCGGTGGGTCGGTCGGCTATGCCGTCGTAGGTTGGCTGGTCGGTTGATTGGTCGGTCGGTCGGTCGGTGGTCGGCCGGTCGGTGGCAGCGGAGACCCCTATCCGGCACGCTCGAAGTTTCCCGCCCCCTCTTTACATTCGGCAGCGTGCCTTCACTTTGCGCACTTGTCCCTCCCGTTTGTCCCAAACGTTTGTCGGGTGTCGCCGTACACGGATGGCGGCGTGTGGCGGGGAAATGAAACTCATTGCGTGTGTGCGTGCGGGCCGGCGAAGGGTATCCCCGAAGCGATCTCCGCTTGTGAGGGCGAGGTGTACGTGATCACTACGAAGCAGACGCGGTTCGCGAGCGCCCTTCTCGAGCACGCCGGTGAGTTAATTTAGCGCGACAGCACTTCGTTACTGTACGCGTCTGCTCGAGAGAGAGAGAGAGAGAGAGAGAGAGAGAGAGAGAGAGAGAGAGAGAGAGAGAGAGAGAGAGAGAAAGGTAGATTCGAGGGCTCATCGCTTCAAGACACGGCTCTTCACGATTGCTGACTGCTATGCATACGAGGCGATTATCTTCGTGTCACTAGCATGTGCAGCACAGCTACATAGCGCTTGTCATCATCACCCGGACTAGCCGTGCCGTCGTTGCCTAGTATGTCCTGCACACACACGTAGACACCTGTCCTCTCGCCTGGAATATCATTGCGCGGCCATGGCTTACCAAGGTCGCGTCGTTTCCGACATTTTGTTCGTTTCTTGAGGTCGGTTGTGTTCGCCCAATTCATGCTAACGTATCTGCAGGCATCAAAGTCCCGTTAGATCGAATATTCGGGTTAGGGACCGGTCCCAAGGCCGGCGTACTGGCCCAACTGCAGACAAAGCACAGGTGAGCTCGGCTGTGAACAACGACCGACCGCTGCAGGAAAGCACTGTAGGCCCAGGGAGTGACTGCTGTACACGGGGAGTAACAGACCCTAAACACGATTCCATCAAGCTTTCAAATGACGGGCTGTAGTTTGGGCGGTCCTATCACGCTACGTTCTGGGGGCAAAGCCCACTACCCGCCGGCTGTTTTTCGCCATTCTTTGGGGTTAGCTCATGACCATGGAGTTATTTGGTTTCTTTTGCCTGGAAGAGTTCGGAAGAGGGTTTAGTAGGATTTGAAAGACTATTGGTGTGAACACACAACAATTGACAACGACAGATGGCGTCAACGACAACAAGACAGCACGAACAACGATGCATCCCATCAACTGGAGGAGTGTTTTCTAGCCACGGCATAGGGGCTATCACTTCACCTAACTGCACTACATCCCCCCTACCCCCCACCGTATTGCCTACAATACTCGCATGTTCTACGTGCATGGATCGGTGGAAACGTTTATTGCAGTGGGTGCACGCTTGTGTTCCTGGAGGATCGAGTGGAGACTTTGGAGGCAGTGTGCGCCGACAGCAAGCTAGAGGTGAGCACGAGGAGGAACGCCGTGTACCCTCGTTACAGCAGCAAGTCGGTTTGCACCCCGTACGTTCGACGGCGGTATTGTGTTCGCGAAATACACCGGTCCATCTTAATCCATCCACCGAAAATGCCCCCCGCGATGTACATGGTACTGGTATTACTTCGTGGTTCACTTTCTCCTGTCTCGGGGGACACCGGCTGGTGCATCAAACCCGTACCAAAGAGCGCACGCTGTCACCTGGCTTGATTGGGACGAAAGTCAAAACACAACACACACACGTTGCGCACACAGTGAGGAGGTTGGCTCTAGCTGATGGCCATAACCTCGCAAGATCGAAGTGTGTTGCGCGCCCGCTTTTGGCAGGCGACTCCGCCTGCCTCTCGTCGTGTTTCCTTGGCTCCTCGGCGGGTAAAACAAACTGTTTGATTCTCGCTCATTCATAATGATCGTCGATTGATTTTGAGCCAAATGTGCTCGTTCGTGTCCCCGACCCCCGCCCTGCCAATGTTTTTATACCTCGTTGCTGAAGGGCGTCCGGCTCTACTTGTGCGATTGGGGCTTCAACACAGCCGCCCAGAGGGCGAGGGGGGAGTCCAACGGCCGCGTAACTGTGGTCGGCACGGGGGACATCGCGGGCTTGCTCGCGCCATGAGTCCGAGGCGCTTCAAGCCAGAGAAACGTCCTTGACTTTGCCGCGCGGGAATTCGGTGCAAATGGTTGTTAATGCTCTCATGGCCCTTTAGTGAGCTCGAACACCTTCGAAACCGTAACCAGTGGGTAGTTTTGGTTTCCTGGATTGTTCTATAGTTTTTGAACAAGGTTTGATGTTTCTGTCGATCATGTCGTGTAACCTCCCGGCTGTTGCGTTCAACACACACCGAAATGGTAAAAAGACGCGTAGAAAAGAGGGGAAGAAAGCACGAAGCATGATTTTGGCACAGATTTGTCGCCTGTGGCGTATGTACGTCATGTATGGGAGGATTCATTCCCCCACGTCGGCTATGAGCGAATCCAGGAAGAATGACGGGAGGTTCATAACTTTTTACCCTGGCCCTAACCAAAAGAACGACATTCTCATCGGGCTCTAGCAAGAGTCTGTCGGGGGTGGGAGTGATCTGGCTACTCTCATGTGTTGGCGGGGTCGATCTGACCCACCTTTCTCAGTGACAAATTCACGCCGCGTGCATGCCTAGATTCCTGTGTGCTGTGCTTGAAGCAGCATCTGTGCTTACACAAGTATTGCTTCGTCTTGACTTCGAGCATGGTTGCCGAAGTAACTCACTGAGCGGGCAAGAAACGATGTACAAGAGCAAGTAATAATCGTTCCTTTGGTCCAACGGGACAAAGATATGGCAGCGAAGATGGAAGAAGCCTGGGCACCGTCTGTGCTCCGCGTTTACCGAAGGTGCAACCAAAGAACACGCACCAAGGCAGAAAGCGCAGCAAAACAGGAAGGCAGAGACTCTTATTTTGGTGGCGTTTCGCCTCGAACATTCTACAATACAGCACCTGCTAAGCACATCACTACAAAAACCCACAAACTTTGGTTGTCCTGAATCCAGTACCGCGCGTTAATGAAACCTCTCTAGCGTTTCCGCTTACACGCCATTTTACACTTTTCAGCATTTACTAGACGGCACACCACTCCAAGAAAAGCCATACGGAGGCTCCCACCCTCTACGAACAACTTGGCGGGTTCCAAGTTTGAGTGCCAATTTCTAACGAAAGCCCCCCCCTGCATCTTCATTCCTCGGCAAAAAGGCCGCCATTTTTTTTGTCTAAATGATTGGAAAACACAAAAAAGGGAAACAAACAAATTCTTCAAAGCACTGCAACACCCTCTATCATTGGATGTTACTTTATCTCATCAGCATCCGCTCTTCGGTATGCTCAATAAGCGCTACACCGTATTTGCTACTACGACTGGACATCGTGTCGACTCCGTCTGGGGGATCCACGAAGTGGTCCTGTAAACGTCGAAGAGCACCCCGTTTCACAACACACCCTAGGCCGTTTGAAAGAGCTCCTGGAGCGTCCCCTTCGACCGCCGCGAGCTGATCCACCCCATCCGCGACGTTGACCCTCTCCTCCGCGCCTTCCTGCCGCCGCCGTCCTCGCCGTCTGCGTCTCCCCCATCCCCTTCCCCCGGTGACGATGGCAGAAACGCCTGCTGCTTCTTCTGGCCCGGAAGCGCCGGGAGCTCTTTGCCGCCCCCTTTCTCACGACCTTCCATTCTGTGCGGCGATTCGCTACTGCCTCCCCCAGCGCCACCGCCACCGCTCTTTCTTTTTCGACCAACACCGCTATCGGCTGGATGTGCCGCGAGGCCCTCTCTGCCACGCTTGAACTTGCTGTCGCTGTTGTTTGTGTTGCCATGCCTGGCAGCGTAGCTGCCGGGCAAGGACGGCCCACCAGCGTCGCTCCCGCCGCCGAGCGTCTCTCCGAGTCCGCGATCCCGGGGTGGGGACAGGCCGTGACCCATAGTCTCACCGAGCGGGGGGGGTGGAAGGTGTTTGCGCGTGACCGTGGGAATCGGCGGCTGAGTACCGCGGTCCTGGGGAAATGGATTCGCGGGGGGGGAGGCGGGGTGTACTCATAGTCGTGCATGCCGTAGTCGTTAGATAGACCATTGACCTTGCATCCCTGCAAAGACGGGACGGAGCACGCCGGGTTCTCACGGGACCAGGCCCTCACATCACCAAGCGCCAAGCTCCGTGAGGTATTCGGCGAGTCGCATGGAGGGTATGCTGCATCCTGCTAAGGGTATTCGGCGTCTTGTGCTTACGTTCTCGCACACGTATGACAGCTGCGAATGAAATTAATTTCTGGTGCTTTCACTTCCAGAGACATGTGTAACTGCCTCGAGGATGCTTGACCAACTTAACACAACGTGGTGCAATCATCCCCTATGCGCGGAGTGAGTGTCCTCGACCCCGCACAACATTATCTGCTCGACCACCATCATTATGGCTACCAAAAACCATACACCAAAGGCAATTGAAAAGCGGAAACTGGTTGCCGAGTTCACGAAGTGATCGACGTGTTTTACAACGTCGTTGCCAAGCGACGAAAACCCAACCCCGATGGGAAACACCGGGTGAAGGGCATCACGGGGGGGACGCGGGAGTAGTTAAGGGGGGTACCCTCATTGGCAGGTGGAAGCGGAGTTACACCAACACGAAACGTGCTGTTAGCTTAGGGTTAGACTGCGTTGGGCGTCACCGGCACGTGCGGGGGACCGGGGCCAGAGATCAACGCATGAATTTCTACGCTTGCACTTTACGAACGCAGATGGTGCTGTTGAAGGTGGACCTCTAACCGGCTCTATCGTAGCCAAGCAGGAGGAGCCTAAACGAACACAAGGGCCCAACAAAGAGATAGGCGCTGACACGCAAAGCTCTGCTGTCGTACGTAAGTCGCGCCCATCTAGTTCATCTCGGTGTTATCGCTAGGCCTGGTCTCACCCGAGGCCGGCGTAATTCAGGCTTGGCTAGCACTCCTCGCCTCTGCTTGGAGCCCCTCTTGCGCGGCAACGGCGGCGGGGGCACGGGCTTGAACCCCCCGCCCCCGCCTCCCCCGCCACCAATGTTTCCGCCCTCTTTGAACAGGCGCAAGTGAGGATCATCCTCGGCATCATCATCCGACCCTGAGAGGAAGATAGCGCAGGAAATAGTCGTAGGAAGTAGGACAACCGCACGGTAAGCGCACGGATCCATCTGAGCGTCAGATCTGAGCGTCAGTGACAGATGTAGGTGAGGGCAACCACAGCGATGTCAGCTTGGCACACGGACCGCAAGCCACCCAGTACTATGTAGAACGTTTGCGCCGCTCTCACCGACACCGAACCCTTCCGGCTCTGCTCCTCCGGGAACTACCAAGCGCCTTCCACGGTGATGCCCAACACCCCCTCCCCCTCTTGCTCCTGTGCCACCAGCCTCTATCCGCTTGCCGCCGGACAGGGGGTCTAGAGTCTTGACACGGTTGACCACGCTGTCCCTGTTCGAGGAAACGCGGTGGTGGCGTGCCCGCCGTCCCGATCCTGATCCGATGGAAGCCGATCGGAGCGGGTGTGTTGCTGGAGGGGAGAGGGGGTCGCCATGACTAGGCCTCCTGCAGGGGTGGGGGAGGCGAAAACGAAGATGTGCGCGTGCGTGCACGGTTCTTTGTAGTACATCTTTGTCGCGCTGACCGGCTGACCAATGAACACGACTCCAGTCTTGAGCAAGAAAAAAGGAAACACATGTGTCTGTGTGCGACGAAAAGGTAGAAGCACAACCACGTTACACGGACGTATACTACCGCGTTTCAAAGTCTATATCTGGCAACGTGTCCACGACGCCACAACGTCCGCTGCCACTGGCTTCGTGGACAAAGAAAACACAAGACGAAAATCAGTCGGAAGGGGTAGTTGTGGCGGGTATAAAGCGCAATCGGGTCGTTGGAGGGACGAATGGCACGGCGAGAGTCTACCTAACAGCTTTCTTACCGGCCACGCGGTGGGTCAAGAGACCGACCCTCGCGTGCGCTCACGCTCGTTGCGTCGCCGATGCTCACTGGCGTTGGGGCTCGCGCCAGCGAGGGCTCCCTCGGCAGAGGACCTCTCGGCAGGAGATCTCTGCGAGGCGGGTGCTTGTGGTCCTGGACGGCAACGCGTGGGCGGCGTAAGGGTGGCGCATGCGCCCTCGTTTCTATTTGCGAAACGGGGGATATGCCGAGGCGTTTCCGTTGCTGATAGGCTCTTTGCACGTGTTTTCATTGAAACGCTTACTGCCTGCCATCCCGCTCAACCGCAGATTGTGGTATCGACACGATGATAGCAAACAAACGGATAGAATCCTAGTTGTTTCGAAAACTCCGGGACTACTGCAGTAGCTGGTCGCGCTTGACCTGTTCGTGAAGTTAATATTCAGGGTCGGTGCCACAAGCAGCTGGCTGCTCTCCGACTTCTCTCCTACCTCTTCGAAAGCGGGCCCTTGTTTCTCGTCACCGCCTTGCTGAACGCAGACCCCGGCTTGGAGGTCCAAGGTGTCGACGAGAGGAGGCTTCGCGGAGGCGAGGTTCAGGGCATGCAAATGCGAGGGTGAAACGGGTCGTTCACAGATGAGCAGGGACAAGACAACAGAGGGGCGACGAGGTGTGTGAATCATTATCTTCACACCAATAAGGCAGACAGGCAGAATCCAACAAACGGCAAACACTCTGGTACCTGCGGGAAAAAGTCTCAACGATACGCTGTCTGGTTCGTTTGCCCGCACCTGGGTCGTGGCTGACATCTCGAAGAATCGCTCCGAGCGACTGCCCTTTCTCCTGCGGGCAGCCGCTGCGCCGTCGTTCCTCTTCGTCCTCCTACCCCTTCCTCCATTGTCTTTCGCTCGCCGCTCCCCTTCCCCCCCACCGCCACTGCCTCCACCGCCATCGGTATCGTTATTTCCGGACCCGACTTGTCCCCCTTTCGAAGCCTTAGAGTCGCCACCCTCCCGTGTCGGGGCAGGAGCTACCTTGGTATGGGGTCCTCCACGTAGCGGCGACGTGTTGCCGGTGACGTCGCTGCCACCTCCATCGGCGGAGCGGTCTCGAACCCCGATGCGAGGCATCACCCGCGCCGGGATTTTCTCGGGCGGGACGACGTTTAGTATGATGACCTGTCGTCGCACGACGTGAAGGAGAGGCGAAAGCTGACTGAATATCCCGTTCGCAATGACGCTGACAACACCAGAGGTGGGTGTCTATTGCGCCGTACGCTATAACCACGCAATTAGGGTTTCTCGCAAACGTCAACATGGAGACATCGACGACACACGCTAGCTTCAAAACGTCAGACTCTTCTCGGCGTGCAGTAGGTAAGCACTGCACCCCGTCGCACCTCGCCGTTAGGTCCCCACACCCAGGCTCTCCCCTTGAGCTCCTTTTTCATCTTCTCTTCCTTTGCCCTGTTCTCCTTGTCTATCCTCTCCAGCCTCTCTCGAGCCTGCGCCTTCTCTTGTATTCGGGCCTCTTCCCGTCGTCGTAAGCTCTTTCACGGCAGACATTAACAACGGGAACGGCGGCAAGTTGGCTGACTGGTCGCGGGCTGGTTTTGTGGGCGGACGAGGAAGGAAAAAAAATGCCTGTCGTGTTTCTCCAAGCGTTTCTTCTAAAGCACCGAAGGCCCGCCTTGGTTCTGCAGCTAGCTCAACACGCGCATGGTGCCTGGAGCTCTGATTCTGTGCTCGCTGTCCTGCATAGCTCACCAAAAACTTTCCCGTGAATCACCACACCGCTCTAGATCACTGGAACGAGCGCAGAACACTATCTCGATGTAGACCTACGAAAAAGGGACGACACTGGACAGCGGATAGGTGGGCCGACCTCGAGAAACGCCCTCTCCTCGTGCTGACGCCCTCGCCCGATGGCATCCCCGATGCCGCCAGCTCCGGCCAGCTTCTCGTCCCCTAGGCCGTGGCCCTCCTCGGAGAACAAACTTAGCAGACCGATGTCTTCCCCTTCCTCGTTCCCGCCTCCCCACGCCCTGCCGTCATCGTCGTCGCGATTGCGAGCTGCGTTACAATCGGCACCATACTTTGCCGCGCGTGACGTGGCATCCTTGTCCTTGCTTTCCCGTCGACCAGCGTGGTCGTTGCTCACTGGCATCTTTGACGAGTCCTGTTCCTCTCCGCCCCGGAGGGCTGGCTCTTCTTCTTCTTGGTCCCCGCGAGGTGATGGGGAAGGTAGTTTTCCTGGCACCCAGGAAACGTTCTTGCAAGGAACTACACCTCTGGCCCAATTATCTATACTTGGCGGAATTGGCTCCGGCTCAGGCTCGAGGCATCCGGGCGGGGACTGTGGGAGCGGGGAGATGCTGTCGTCAGATTGTGTGGAGGGGGTCAGGGGCTGTCCGGTGGTATGTGCTTTCAAGGGAGTGTACCGCCGCGAAAATGCCTGAATATAGGCATGCCGTGAGAGCAACATATCAGGATATCAATCATAGTAGCATGCCGTCGAACATTCTAGGCGTTTAGCATCCCCAAGCGCTGTTGTGTCGACTTTGTCTCCGTAGAACAAGGCTACGAGTTGCTTTGAAGGAATTGACATCAAATGCCCCAGCAAGGTGTGAGGGTTCTCTTCGTCACCAAAATATACGCCCCTCGAGCGAAGACGCTCCTCGTGCACTCTATTCTTGTATGTACGCAAACACTTTACACCAAACATTCCTGACCAACCTGCTCGCTGGCTTGGTCGTAGCTTGGTTTATTCCACTGCAAGAGCGGTACAAGCTTGGCAGTGACAGCCGCGGCTCCGGCAGGGAGTTCCAACTCTGCGAGGGCGAGATCCCGAACAGCTTCCGCGGCCTGGTCCTCGATCGCGCTACCATTTTGGTCGCGGTATAACAGTGGTGCGCAGATGCCAGTCGAACGAGATGTGTCACGTAAGTACACGCTATTTGCAATGGCTGGGGCTTAGTGTTGTCAAGGTCCTGCAGTACTTCACAGAAATTAATTGGGCACCAAAGGTCATGTAGCGTGCTTCAGACATTTCCAGGATGGAGGTCTTGGTGTACTGCAGGACCGTGTGGACATAGAGCTGCATGTTCGATATTCAAATTGTGGAACAAGTATCGGCGGAATTATGTTCGGGTTGAAGGGGTCGTGGAAGAGCCGAAGGCTTCCAGATCGACAGGACCAGTGGCACGGCGACACACGTTTTCGGGCTTTGGTCAGACATTGAACAACATCCCTCAGCGACGACCCAACACGTCGTAAAAATGCCGGCATAGGAAGCCACGCAGTTAGCTTTGGCATTTTGAAGGCGGCTCTCGTTTCGTGGTGTTCCATGCCTCTCACCGTACTACCGCGATGACCTCCTTCTCGGCTTGAAGATGAGCGCTAAGCCCGGCCAAACACTTCGGTAGCGACGACTCGTGATCGAGAGACATACTCCCAATCAACACCTTAGAGAGGACATCACACGCGATTCCTGCGTCACTTGTTCTCACGTCCGTAAAAGCACTGTTGTGCGCACAATGAGGATTTGAGCGGGAGAGCGAGTCCGACATTTCTTCCGCGCACCGGGCGGGACATGGAGCGGCGCAATCTCCTGCAAGTTCCTCTTCGGGAAAAACCGTTCCGCTCGCCGCACACCACACTCTTGATTGCGCCGCATTTCGCGACGACGCATGCCCGCGAACTTGCGAACTTCGAGAGTGGATGTAGGCAGCAAGGAATCAGCACGGTTGGTACTATGTACCACAGTGGTCATAGCGGGCTGGGCGCGGAGTCTGGTCGATTTCCTCGGAGCCCAACGAGTTTTTCACAGGGCAGGAACGGTGGAATGTCGGTACGTAAAAGGAGGCCACAATTCTCTTGCGATCTCATGCTGTTGCGTTGTTGACAGCGCGGGCCTCTGATCGCAATCAAGGTCGATGCTCTTGTCGTGCACAACACTGCGATATCTGCGTAGCCTTGTTGAGCTTTTGTTAGCACTCAGCAGGCTGCAGTGCGCAGAGTTTCATCGTGCGTAAAACTCTCTTTGTTCTCTGTAGACGAGAGATAAAAACATGTTGCGCTACTACTGTAGAATGGGCCAACCGTCGCGATTCTGGACAGAGCACACAACATGCAAAACGTGCGCTCTACCTGACAACATACAACAACTCTCGCTCCACCTGAATTACTCCATGAAATATCGTTCTCTCATCGTGGGGGATCGTTGCCGACTCAACAGCCGTACGGAGACAACGTCCAGCACGGTGGGCAGTACCCGTCTCCCTATCAGGCACGCTATCGCCTTCACAGCAAGCACGGAAACCGGAGCTACAAACGACGAGCCAACGCCAGTGCCGGAGGTGACGGCTCGTCGGCTTTCGGTGGGGGTGGGTCTGGAGCGGGTTTAGGGCTGACCTCCGCAACCTCGCACCAGCGAGGGAGAACCGAACGAGATAGATTTTTGGTGGACATCAACAGCGGCGGGCAAAGGAGCGGGGTATCAGCAGCCTCACTTCTTCAAGCGAAAAAAAATGTGGGTCTTGTCGATAGAAAACGGGGAAAAGGTACTTGTAGCAGTACAACAAATACAATTATACGTATCCGGACATTTTGTGTTGCGGCATCTGTCCAGTATCATCGGCGGCACAAACTAATTGTTCTATTAGCGCAATAAAACCTAGAAATGGAAGCAAAATTTGATGTTGACCCCAATCGTGTCGTACACAACTTGAAATCGCGATTGATACAAGTTAGGGTGCATCGATGCAAGTTTGCCTTCACAGAAAATTTCACGTGGTTATGCACCTCTGGCCGTAACATGGTTTGCTCCGCGGCCAATCTCGATGAACAATCACACACACAACCACTTGTCGCAGTCTGGCGAAGCCGGTGGGATGGCCGGGGGGAGCATGTGGCTCCCTTCCTCCTCCCATCGCAACTCTAGGCTCGCAAGCTCGGGGCGGCCAGCTTTGGGACAGCACCAGCACCAGCAGCGCATGGGCTCATCCAATGGGTATTCCACCGCCGGGGGGGGGGGGCGAACAGGCGACCTTTCCAGGGGTGGGGGCTCTGCTGGCGGGAACTGGGGCGGCGCCCTCGGTAACCGCCCCGG